ATGACTAGCTGCCTTCCCTCTAGTCTTACACTGCTAAATTAGGGACGGCTAGCTCAGATAGCAGTCATGTAGCTTTGCGCGAAATTCAAAACAAACAAACAGACAGACAGCGGCAAGCCTACAGAATTATAATGCTAAAATCGGGGGTTAGATTCCCCGCAGTGAACACAGTAAAGAACCAAATGTGGCTTTGCTCTAAAAAAAAACAACAAACAAAAAACTATTTGTAGTATTGTGGAAAATTCTACGGATGATTACTAAAAATATACCATCTATTTGTAGAGGATTTGATTTTTCTTGAGCTTTTTTATTATAATTAATTTACTTGACATCACAGATTTTTAAAAGCGGGGATAAATGAATAAGTTATATAAGACACAAATAAATAAATACAAAACATGTTAAATGTAATGGTAAGTAGATCAGTCCTAAATAAAACTGTTTATTGTGCAAACAAAAAGAAGTTGTTTTTAAATGAATAATTTATTTATATATGATTTTATACGGGTATCCAAGAAGTTTTTGTACAAAACACAATTCAAATTGACGTAGTCAGTGTCCTGTTAGATGTTTTTATCACGATGTTTCCAAATGTTAACAAAATCGTATGTCAGAAAGTATCCGGTGTGACGACACAATACCTGGATTGGGAATAAATATAATTCCAAGATCTTCGTGATTATAGATAGAGTGGAGCTGGAGGTCAGAAACAAGAATTTAACAAGGAATCAGTGGCCTTCTTGTAAATAAGTTTCTAAACTATACGACTTTCTAAAATAAGGCACTAACCATATTATAAAGTGCAGTTCTTTCGTATAGGTACCTTATTAGTATATATAAGATATGCATGTTCTGCCACAGAGAGCCAGACGATAAGAAGCAATGTGAGACAAACAAAGAAAAATTGTTTTAAAGCAAATATTAAATATGGCATCATGGTTAAAGTACTCTCACCTATGAAATTACATCAACCCTCCTCTTTTTTTTTTCATCTACTGATCGACAACAGTAATAAACGCTGTTACGTCTCCGTTTGTTAATTAACTTTCCGTAACTTCGTTCCGACGAAACTTTAACGACACAAGTCTTTACTTAATAAAACTGGTTTATTCTTTCCGAATATAACTCTGCGATACACTTAATCTCAATACTCGCGCTAAAACAACACTGTAACGAACGAACGTTAACTTCAACAATACCGTGTGACTGCAGTTCAATTACTCACTATCTATACACACATTACCTCGTCACGTTGTCCCCTCTTATATATATCCGCCTACCCTATATCTAGTAAGAACTTGAACATTCGCCAAAGTACATGATAGTTCTAGAAACGTTGCGTCATAGTAGTCATGTGACTGCTGACGCAACAACGCCTTACACACTAATCGTTTACAAAATTAAGTTTCCGTGATCTGATAGGACTCCAATCGAAAGCTATCAAACTTTTTTTTTCCTACACTGAGCTCACGTCATATTCTAGCACTTTATATTACACATTATTAAAACATCTGTTCAACTGAAAGGTTCATTTGGAAATGAATTAACGTTTTCTTAAGACAGCAACATTCACTTTCCCTTCGTTCTTTCGCTAATTACTTTAAAGCTCGTAAAATGTAAACTATCCTTGAGGTAAAACTCGAGTGCTGACTTAACGACGTCATAGGATTAGGCTGAATCTAGAGAGAATTCTCTAATGGAAGAAAAATATGCTATTATTTTAACATAATTCAGAAAATCTTAAACTTCTCGCAGAATTAAAGCGATACACTGCAAGCTACAATCACTCTTGGGGAACGCATGAAGTCTTGTAGTCGCTACGGTAAGATTTTATTTATTTGTTTCAAAATTTGGCGCAAAGCTACACAAGGATTATTTGCGTACAGACGACCCTAATATTGAACTGATAGCCTAGAGAAATGGTACCCATTTTTAACTCTTGGGCTGCTGTTATCTTATCGAACAGTGGAATTTGATATCACTCTTATAGCGCACCCACGATTTCTAAGTGCGTAGGTTGGAGTTACGACAATTATGAATCCTCGAACTCACAGTCCAGTTGGCTCTTCTGTGTAACACACACATATACAGAAGGTTGTCAGGTTATTAAAACCACTTTGAATATGCAGCTCGGCAAGTTACATGAAAACACAGTCAGTATAAAGTTGCAGTGAAACGGTTTAATACTGGAACTACATTTTGACTTTGTTTGGCGTTGTTAGGTAGTGTGATGCCACCAGAAATTGATCCCTTTTGTAAAAGGTATGAAAGTAATAACGTAACAGCCCTTTCGGACGCAAAATGAGTATATACTCAGATCATAAATATGCGTTCAGAACGGGGTTTATAATTTTCAAGACTGGGATATATCTTGGACTTAATGGCATTGGAAAGCAAAAGAATATGAATCAGCTTGGGACTCATGAGAACCATCTAGAAAGAGACTTGTAACAAGTCGTACCATAACAGTAGCAAACAAAGTACCGCGTCTTGTAACGGGTGAAAAGTGCCCCAGGTAACAGTATTTAACATAATCAAGAAGAATCTCCGTCTGAAAACTAGGTGTACAGGGTGCTGGTTCACCAAGTTATACCTTCTAGCCATACCTGTACCGTGTCATACCTGGAATTGATGGAGAATGAAACGGATATCCATGGTATTCCATACGAATACATAATGGTCAAATCACTAGATGCAGCGCCTATGAATGTTACTGTGCGATAGGATTTTTGAAATGGGCGTTGGGAAACCGCCGTCCTCGTGCGTTAGTCATATTATGGAAAGCATGCAGAGAGAAGTAATGCCCTTTGGACATGACAGCCTTACTACAGAGTCTTTGCAATGGAACTACACTGAACGGTGTCAGACAGAGTATGACAGTATATGTGGCGATATGGATTGTAACGACGTGGTGAGTTTTCCAAATCGTTTGAATATAACGTACTCAAACTCTGTATACGAACCAACACACCAACATTTAGTTAAAACTGGTTAATAAACTGTATAATTTAATCTAAATAATTAAAAGAGAAGATGAAGGTTGTCATTATTCTCTCTAAAACCAAAGCCACATTCAAGTCATATTTCTTATCCAAGAATAAAACGACAAAAATTAACTTGTAATATTCAACAACACTGAAATAATAAAAAAAAATGTTTTGTTTATAATAAAATATCTAGTAACCGCTACATTTTAAATAATATAGAAATATTATTGAAAAAATGGTCGTAATTACACCTCCTTTGATAAAAACGTAATAAGTAATCCATTCCGAAAGTGAATATGATGTTAATAATTTAAATTGCAAATTCAAAATGTTTGTTTCATTACGAAGAGACAAAATATTTTTTTTTACAAAATATAACGTGGAACATAACAGGCAGTACCTGTTGACAATATAAAACCCTTTAATGCATATTTATATTGATTACAAAACAAAAATTACATTCATTTCAGTTACGAAACTTATAGCCCGAATAATATTGAGCTTAACTGAAAATGAAGAACCAAGAACTAAAAAAAGTGGCGATTCAAAAGCCATTTGTTATAGTTCTATCTTACCTGAAAGTAAGATGACATTAATGTGTTGTCCACAACCAAGAAGGCTCCACAATGTTTTCTGACAATATGGGCTACTGCTGCAATATCAGCTAACTTCATTGTTGGGTTAGTAGGAGTCTCCAACCATACCATCTGTTTTAAAAACAAAAGTTTAAATGTTTAATGTGATTAAAATACCAGTTAGAAAATACTGTAGTCAAATATCATTAAGAAAAATGTACACATCCTATTTAATTAGTAAGTCCTCAAAACAGCAACTTTAATTTAAGAAACACTTTATGTTGCCAAAATGAAATTGCTACTAATGTGTGTATATATAAACAGTTAAGATGTCACATGACGTTTAATTTAATTAGGTTTTTAATGTCTAGGAACAAGCTCATATTTTAAGACTTGCGCCGAACGAATGGGCATTGAGACTTCCTTTATTGACGCTAGAGATCCTGTAAACATCGACAACGCTTTTCAAACCAACACAAAGGTATGTTTTATATATATTAAACACATAAAATACATGTAATAATCTGGATATTACTATTACTAGTATTGGAAGTCGTGGCTGTCAAGAGCTCCATTCTTCTATTTACTTCCTGTCCCATGTCCTTACTTTTCACAACCATGACAGATAAGAAGTAAACAATAATATAAAGGGTCAGCCATAGCGTGCCTTAAAATCTTCCGTCATGAGTATAGCGTAAATAATTAATGACATAACTTGAATCTGAGAGTTAGCTAACTTAATTAATTTTTTTCCCTGGAAACCTATCAAATTAAGGGAAAATAGTGTCCTGATTAATATTGCACGGAGAACATGTTGAATATAGTCTACAATATGCTATACATTATATTATGTTTGTAATCCATATATATATATATATATGGACATATTTCGATCCTCGGAGTTTAAATTATTCTTTTATTAGACATTTTTTAGAATTAATCGACGTTTTTGCATCTACTATATATCTTTAGGTGGATGTTTACGTATATAAATGTACAAACCATGTACTTAAAAATAGATATGATAACAATTAAATAAACTGTGTATCGTATCGAAGATACTATAAAAAGTAGAATATGTATTGTTTACACATTACATTAGCTAAATAGTCAAGACATATATTAATAAACTTTTCAACAGTTTGGATTTCAGTTGTAACAGGCGAATGATATACATACGAGGGCTTATAACACTAAAAATTGCATTTTAACCCACGGTGAGCACAATACAGATAGCTCAATTGTGTAACATTTTGTTAACAGCAAACACAGAAACAAATACTACAAAATCAGTAGCGATATTTGAAAAGATGTTTCCCTGTGTATTCTGACGTCTCTACCGCTTCTCTTTCTACAGTGGTTTGTAATCATAATCGTCATCAGGATTAATCCTTACGGAACACGAAACGAAAAGGGGTAAAAATAAAAACACGATCTCGGTAGACAGATAAACTAAATAAACCAAAATTACATAGTAATAGAGAGCATTAGATGTGAATTTGGGGAATTGGTAGATAGGTTTTATTTTCGGGAGGGAGGGGGTTTACAACTGCACCATTTGGAAACACACATACACCCAAATCCGCCGATAAAGCTATAAACATTTGTGATACCACACTTTTCCTACCACAGCTGAGGTGTAACTGGTTGCAAGTCTTGGATACACACATACACCCAAATCCGCCGATAAAGCTATAAACGTTTATGATACCACACTTTTCCTACCACAGCTGAGGTGTAACTGGTTGCAAGTCTTGGATACACACATACACACCCAAATCCGCCGATAAAGCTATAAACGTTTATGATACCACACTTTTCCTACCACAGCTGAGGTGTAACTGGTTGCAAGTCTTGGATACACACATACACCCAAATCTGCCGATAAAGCTATAAACGTTTGTGATACCACACTTTTCCTACCACAGCTGAGGTGTAACTGGTTGCAAGTCTTGGATACACACATACACCCAAATCCACCGATAAAGCTATAAACGTTTGTGATACCACACTTTTCCTACCACAGCTGAGGTGTAACTGGTTGCAAGTCTCTTTCTGAATAGTCATGGTTCTCAAGTTGATCCATATTTCTTTGTTTTCCAATCCAATTAAATACAAGATATATATATATATATATTACACTGAAATTCTAAAACTCCGGTCTGAACACACCTTTATGATCTAAGTGTTAGAATATTTCACGTCGGAAAGGGCTGTTACAACTCTTACCAAAAGCGATCAATATTCGGTGGCATCACACTACTTACGAAATTCCAACCAATGTCAAAATATAGTTCTGACACATCCGTTCCACCATAAATTTATATTGGTTGAGGTTTTCTTGTGCCTTTCTGTTTGCATATTAAAGATCGTTTAACTATAACGTACTCAACCATGTATAACATGTATACAGTTTTTCCAACTGATATTTTAAAGTTATGACAGCAGCCAAATTATGGGAAACTTACCTCCGTAAACGTCATCAAAACAGATGATGTGATCTCCAGTACTTAATAGATGAGTTACTGACATTACGGCCGACAATCCTGATGAATAACACAGAGCTAAAATGGAAAGTAATCCACTTCATAAATATAGCCAACAAGTTAAAACATCGTTTACAAATTTTGTGTTTAACTGCTTTATAAGAGGCAAGTCGTGTCATTTGGTACCAGCAAACTGGGTTCATTTCTATCGTACGTTTGACATGACCTTTTGTAACAAAAAGTAGGCTTACCATAAACGTCGTAATAACTGCTATGCAATGACCTATATTGAATTTGACCTCAAATTGACTTAAGATTAACTAAAAGACTATGTAAAAAGGCCTGAAGCGTTCACTCACTGTACGTTTGTGAGATTTTACACATTTTTCCACGCAGAAAGTATGTCAATCACACAGTATACATAACAGATAATCCATCAATATTTTGTTTGACATACATAATTGTTTCGACCAATGTTCAGAAATCATTGTCAATCATATTCAAGGACGCAAACTGTGCGTTGGGTAACATTTAAACAGAAATTTGGGAATGTCAGAATGTTTAATGTAACAGTATATATTTTTAGTCACGTGCTCAAATGAAGCACCTCCAATGTCTTCAATCAGTACATGAAAAGCATTTGATCACCGTTTTTAATAAGGATCAGTTTTCGTCTCAGGAATGTTAAGTATAAAAGTGAATTTTAAGAGAATAATACCAAGAATGAAAGCAGTTTTTTACATTTTCCATATTGCTGTCAATTCTGGTTAAAATAAAATACCCGTGTAGCGTTGAATATACATTATTTTGTTACTTTCAAGTACGTGTATTTTAAAGCTGTAATATAAGGTTATGACAAAACGGATAAAGGCACGATATTTCTTTTAATATGGATCTTTAATAAATTGTAAACAGATTTGGACTTTCAAGAAAACATTATTCATCAAGCAAAATTAAAGAATTAGACTCCTTGTTTTTAAATATTTTTATACATTATATCAAACAAATACACTCCTGTCAATAAAAATATTGAACATGATATGTTTATATATATATATACACGATACTGTAAAAAAATGAAAAAAAAACTCCAGACTTCTCTCTTACCATATTTCCCGCCTTCTAACGAAGCTAGACACTGTTCGAGACACTTTCTGGTTGGATTTCCACATCTTCCATACTCAAAACCCTGTAATTTGATAAATATCATAATATAATTATATTTTCCTAAATTTTAATATTCTTCTAGGTGTTATTAATAACAGTTTTATGATCACAACTTGTTACTAAGATTTATAAATGGGATTTCTGATTTAATCCTTTCTGGTATTAAAGGTCACGCTTGAGAATAACCTTTAAATCCAATAAACTAAGGTATGAACCTTCATGAAGTACAAATTATCCGTCGGAAAGTACAAGTTGTAGACATAAGTTATACTGTATTATCCGTCGGAAGGTACAAGTTGTAGACATGAGTTATACTGTATTGTCCGTCGGAAGGTACAAGTTCTAGACATAAGTTATACTGTATTGTCCGTCGGAAGGTACAAGTTCTAGACATAAGTTATAC